GAAAGTGACTTGCCCAAGGACACACAGCTCAGGCTCAGGCATCCAGCACAATTCCGGCCGGAGGGAGGGAATGTTGGTGTGGCAGGAAGGATGCCAGGTCAGGATGAGGTCAGGTGAGGGGCATTTCTTGTTTGTCCTGGAAGCCTTCGTAGTCTTCAGCAGAAGTCTGCAAACATTTAGCAGTCCCCAAAGGTTGACTTTTAGTTGATCACCTATTTGTTTCGTGACTCATGTCACATCCCACCCCTAGGCACGGCAGGGTGGGGTGCTCTTCTGGCTGCCTGTGGACTCTCTGTGGGGACTGGTATGCAGAGCTCCAAGTCTCTGGTCTAGCTGATGTGCCAGGGGGCTTTCTGGACAGCAAAGCAGAGGCCATGTCATCCACGGGAAGCACTGAACCCCGGGCCAGGGGTCCGGGGGCCCAGAAGCTGCCTATAGGCCTGATGGGGTGGGGCACCAGTGTGCCAGCACAGATATGACCAGTGTATAGACATCACATGGGGGCAGATTTTTATTTATTTTAATTTTTTTGAGTCAGCATCTCACTCTGTCACCCAAGGCTGGAGTGCAGTGGCACAATCACAGCTCACCACAACCTTAACCTCTTGGGCTCAGGTGATCTCCTACCTCAGACTCCCAAATAGCTGAGACTACAGGTGTATACCACCACACCTGGCTACTTTTTTATTTTTATTTTTATAGAGATGAAGTCATACTATGTTGTCCAGGCTGGCCTTGAAATACTGGGCTCAAGCAATTCTCCCACCTCGGCCTCCCAAAGTGTTAAGATTACAGGTGTGAGTCACTGTGCCTGGCTAGAGGCAGATTTCAGTTCAGCCAAAGGAAGAGCTGTCTAACTGTGGGAGCCGTCTGCACATGGAAAGCAGCAGTGAATGCCTGTCATTGGAGTGGTGCTGGTGTGTGTCCAGCTGGGACACGACATGGTTATGCAGAGGCCACGGCAGCACCAGATGGAGCCTGGCTAGATTATCCATTAAGGTGCCTGTGGACCCCAGAGTGTTCTAGGGTTCACTTAGTCTTCCTGCCAGTTCTGCCTGGCTGGGGGGACTCAGTCCCATTTACAGACTGGAACACTGAGGCTCAGAGCAGTGAAGCCACCTGCCCCAGCTGGGTCTCTTCCCTTCCCTGGCCTCCCAGCCTCAGCACGTTTTCAGGCTCAGTGGTGGGTGTTTCTGACAGGGTTAGGACAGGCCCGCCCTTGTCCCCTCTTCTCCTTATTCTGGGGCTCAGGGCTGCCCGAGGTGCCCTCTCGCCTCACCTCTGGGCAGCGAGGAAAGTTCTTTCATGAGTAAGCCATTGAGGAGCGGGTGGGTGGAGGTGTCTCAGGCAGGACCGCACTTGGCACCGTGCCTGCAGCTATTAAAAAGTGTATTTGTTTACATCCTCAATATCACACGTTGTTTATATCCCAATAGACCCCCAGGTCACGTGCTCTCCTTCCTTTTACTGCGTGGATGATGGATTTATGAGGTGGGTGGGCACTTAGTACCCACTGCCCTCATGGCCAGGTCTGCCTGGTAACTTTCCACTCCAGGCAGGCAGATCTCAGAAGAACTTCCCTTCCTTTGAGGCCCAAGGGCAGGAGACAGTGGTGTGGGTCTCCTGTGGCTCTGGGAGCCAGTGTTGAACCTCAGCCCTGCAGACGGGTCACTCAGGGCTCTGTTCCCAAGACCAGGGGGTGCCCAGGATCCCCATGTCTCTCCTCCCATTTGGCAGATGGGGACACTGAGTACCAGAACCTCACACAGGGTCACACAGTGGTCACAGACTGGGCCTTTGGCTGGAATCCCAAGCAAGGCAATGGAAAGAGGATTGTCTTAGAGGCTGTCCCGAGTTAGAATATCAGTCCTACCATCTCTAAGCTGTGTGACCCTGGGCAAATCACTGCCCCTCTCTGGGCCTCCATTGCCTCATCTTTAGGATGGGAGAATGGCGAACCCTCTTCCCTCATGGGACTGTGATGAGGAGACCTCAGGAGGAGTCTGAGCCCAGCACACAGTGGGAACTCAAGAAGCGCCTCTCACCTCTTTTCCTCAGAGGCAAGGAACCTGTGCTCCCAGAACTGGTCTGTGCAGTAGGCCAGGATAAACCTGCTAGCTGCCCCCCCCCAGTGCCCCTATGATGGATTACTGAAGTGGCCGCTGGCTAGCCACTAGTGAAGGCTCTGTGAGGGCATATGTGGGCTTTGGATTCAGAGGCGTGGACTCCTGGCCCTGCTGTCCACCTGCCTTGGGATCTGGGCCAGCCCCTTCCCTTCTTGGGCCTAATATGCTCATTTGTGAAATGGGCTCGCAATCTGTAGGGAGGCCCCAGAGAGCCAAGGCCTGCAGATCGGCAGAGCTCAGGACACATGGGATAGAGGTCTGTGTCAGGGGACAGAGGATGCCTTTCTGAGCATGGGCCCTGCTGCCTCCTGGGGAGGGGGCAGAGAGGCAGGCCGGCTCCCCGCGCCATCTTTAGTCCACACTCCTGGCCCTCCTGGCCCCTCAGCACTTGGGGGAAGCCTGTCATGACCGTCATGACGGATAAGTGGGAGGGAAGAGAAGGTCATCAGAGGCGGATGCAGAGTAGAATGGACACACGTCAGAGTCACACGGCCGGGAAGGAGGTGACAGGAGCTGACCTACTGTGTGCAGCCTGTGCTCTGCCCCTTCTCTGCTGTGATGATGTCTACATGGTGCCCGAAGCAGCCACAGCATCTCTTTCCCAGAGCCAGGCGGTGGGGGGGCGGGGGGCTCAAACGCCGGCACCGCTGCTCACAGGCCCTGGGCAGTGCTCTCAACCCCTGCCTCCTCCCTGCTGGCAGGGGATCTGGTCACCTCCCCCTCAACCCGAGCTGTTGGGAGGAGTACGGAGGTGCCCCAGGGAGGACCATTACCCCCTGGGAGGCTGCCATTCCCCTCGGGCCACCCCCGCTCCTTCCCAGGCCTCAGGGACGCTGGCCCTGCCCCCCCTGCTGTCATCAGTCACTTGCTTCCTTTTTTAGATGCTTTGCTTATTGTTCATCCCGAGTTCCGCCAAACCCTGGCCTTTGAGCCGCTCAAAACAAGCTGATGGATGACATCCCCGCCTGCCCCACCCCCGGCCAGAGCTTCCTCCCAAGAGAGACCGAGCTGCAGGGACAGAGGGTGGCTTGGGCAACTTGCACACGATCTCGCGTTGGTGCTTGCAGGTCAGAGTGCCAGCGGGCACCCCTGGGACCGGCAGATGTCCTGCCCAGTGGCTGGGCTCCCGAGGACCGCGTCCTCCTGCAGGGGCAGGAGGGCATCCTTCAAGGGAAGCTGGCCGGTGGCTCCACTGCCCTTGGGGCCCTGCATGTGCTTGCCGGCCGAGGCTGGGAGCAGCTGGACCTTGGGCACACCCCAGGCAAGGGAGTGGTCATCCCCGAGAGGGCAGGAGAAGCAGCTGGCCTGGCGGATCTGCCAGTCGCTGCCGGGAGGAGAGAAGGCGCAGAGGGGCAGGGCCGTGTCAGCCATTGGAGGAGACGGTCAAACCCTGCCCTGTTTTTCTCACTCCGGCCATGCTGGTCACTTTGACAAGCGGGAAGAAAGGGGACCAGGGTTCGAATGTCATTCTTTGGAGAGGTGGATCTGCTGGGGTTTCTTCCCTGTTACAAACTCTTCATCGGCCCCCAGAGCCATCTTGAGGACTTTAACCTTCTCTGCACTGCCTCTGAGAGCCTGCGTGATACAGCCTTGGCTCCCACCCCACCCTCCCCTCTCCTTCTCTCCTGTCCTTCCTGCAGTTTCCTGGGGACACTCGACACATTCCCACCTCTGGACTTTTGCTGTTCCCTCTGCCTGAAACACCCTTCCCCTTCCCCATCCTTTATTGACCCCCGCCCCCAAACTCTGCTTTTTCTTCTGCAGAGTGGCTCCTCTGAGAAGCTGTCCCACCCTGCTGCCGACCACCCTGTGCTGTCACAGGGTCTGCTTGTGTCCATGCCCCTGCCAGTCTTTCAGTTTTAGGGGCAGGGACAGTCTGTGATGTGTCAGCTTATGTGTCCCTGCAGCCAACACATGCCCCGCCGGGTGAGGAAGTGATGACCCCAGGAAGGAATGAGGGTGCATGTCCCCCGCCCCTTTACCCACTCCACGGTGCCCTGACCCAGAGCCATGCCTTGAGGTTGGAGTTCCCTGGGTCCCTTTATCAGGAAGAGGCTTGAGGTGAGGGGCCCAGCGGTGGGTGGGCACCAGCTTGGGAATCCCAGCTGGGTGCACCTCCAGGGGGCACCGGCTGACCTCAGCCCCCAGGACTTTGCAGCAGAGCCCACTAGAGCTAAGCAGGCGGTCACTTAGGGCTGGACCGGCGAGCCCTTCCCTGACAAGGGCTCCTGTGACCTCAGCCTCCCTCCAGCGTCCCTGCAGCTGTTGACAGGGTTTTATTTGCTCACAGGGGGCAGGAGGGCAGGGTGGTGGGCTCCAGTGTTTCTAGCACGGGCTGGCCCCTTTCCATAGGGGTTGCTGGCTGGCCACCAGGGCTCTGAAGCGAACAAAGTCCCAGCAAGTGGCGGGCATCTCCGGGTGCCAGCCCCTGCCCTGCCTGGCAGAGGTGAGGAAGTGTTGGCTGTTTTGTTTTTAGCTCCCATTTAAACCCGCCAATGGGAAGGATCCTCTGTGTTGCCAAAGGAGAACTTTGTCCTGCCCCTTCTTGATACTCCAGAAGCCTCGCCGCACACCAGCCTTGCCTGTCCTCTCGAGAGCGCACCTGCCCCCCCACGTGCGTGCATTTGCTCAAGTGCACATGCACTATGCTGCTTGTTCCTGCTGACACCATCGTTTTGCATTTTGGACTTGGACACATGTCACTTAAACCAGAGATTTCTCGCTTAACATCCACCATCCGCAGATGAGTGCTCTAAGGGTCCTGGAAGCCTTTGAAGTTGAATGTCAAGTTGTGTGCATGGGTTGTGGATGTGTCTCTGGGCAGAGAGCTTTGCTTGCTCTGAACAAGGTTCATGACCCCCCAACCCAATGGTTATGGCGGCTGCCTTGGAGAAGGGATGGTATGGGAGAAAGAGCCTGTGCCTGGTCCTCTCAAACCCTCCGTTTCCTCATCTGGAAAATAAAGGTGGTGAAACCTACTCTGTAGGGCTATTGTCCCGAAGATGAAACCCAACAGATGAAGACATGTGCCCAGCACATAGTAGGTGCTCAGTAAACCCTGGTAAAATCCTCTTGTTCAAAGGAGGGGGCAGAATAGACCAGCTGGCCAGTCCCTTTCACATGGAGAGGAATCTGCTGATGCCGTCCGGCCAGCACGCCATCTGCTGAGTGCCAGCGCGGATGCTGGCATCCCAGGGCCAGGGCTGCAGTGGCTGCCGTTACCTGCTGTCCTCCTGGCGGTGACGGCTGCTTCCTTGGGCCCATTTTAGATCAAAGGAAGGGCTGGGCTTGGGAGATGAGGGGGGGCTCATTCACGGGGTGGCAGAGGGCACATTTGGGACACCACAGGGAGGGCTTAAAATAGGCACCTGTCCTTGGACACCAAGGGGACGCAGCCCCGGCGTTATCAAGAGGTCTTTTCTGGCCAAGGGCACCAGCCCTCTGTGGGAGGGAGAGATGTTTTGGAATATGTTTTCCCAGCTGCCAGGGGTAGGCAACTCTGACCCAGGAAGAAATGAAGTCGTTAATGCCCAAGTGTTTAATGAGCACCTATGCTTGACCACATGCTGCATGTCTGATGACTTTGCCTCACGTCATCTTGCAGGGTGGAGATGACTTACTGGGTTTCTAGGTCTGGCAGGAGGAGAGAGAAGTTAAGCATGTGTCTTAGGATCACACAGCTAATAAAGGACAAAACCAAAATTTAAATCAGGAACTGTCTGACTCCACGCCTGTGCTCTTTTTATAACCACCTCTCAAAGTGTGATTTAGACATAAAAATCTTGGAGCCGGGCACGGTGGCTGATGCCTATAATCCCAGCATGTTGGGAGACTGAGACAGGAGGATCTCTAGAGCCCAAAAGTTCAAGGCCAGCCTGGACAACATAGTAAGACCTTGTCTCCACAAACAATTTTTAAAAAATTAGCTGGGCGTGGTGTCACATGCCTGTGCTCCCAGCTACTTAGGAGGCTGAGGCAGAAGGATCACCTGAGCCTGGGAGGTTGAGGCTACAGTGAGCCATGAGCAGGCCACTGCTCTCCAGCCAGGGTGACAGAGTAAAACTCTGACTCAAACAAAAGAAAGAAAGAAAAAACTTGGGATTTATGGAGGCGAGGGACTTTCCCAGTGGTTGGACTCAGTGTCTCCCTGGGGAAGGATATGGCCATTTTCTGAACATCTGCTATGTGCCAGGACTTCCACTGGGATCTCTATGCCTCCCTTGTCTCTGCCATAAACCAGAGACAGGGACCTGCAGGTTATACACACTGACAGATGACACAACTGCAGCTCTAGGCAGTGCAGTGACTTGATCAAAGCACAGACTTTCACCCAGAGCCCATGAAGCAAACCATGGAGCCACCCAGGGAGTGGTGCTTGTGTTGACCTGTCTTCGAAAAAGACCTGCCTGAGGCTGGGCTGTGGCCACACTGACTTGGCCCGCATTGAGGTCCCTCCTCTCTGGCCACTGTCACCCGCTCCTGAATCTCTGCCTGTATATTTCGAGCCAGGCATGATATCCTTGGTCCATGGCTGGAAAGAACCCCTCCACCCACCATCATGGTGGAGCAGGCTGTGTTTAATTGAGCAGTTGGCTGGAGCTGTCTCCTCCTCCCTTCTAGGAACCGAAGGGCAGCAAATTCTCAAAATGGATCTACACCTATAAGACCAGTGTCTTCGTTTTCTCCTGGAAAACGAAGACACTTCTAGACGCGAGCCCAGCTCTGTCGGGCCCCAAAGCAGTGCTCTTCCCTTGGCTTAACTCAGTTCCGACCTCACAGAAACTGCACAGCCCGTGCCTGACATGGTGGCTCATGTCTGTCATCCCAGCGCTTTCGAGGCCGGAGGGCAGGGAGGATTGCTTGAGGTCAGGAGTTTGAGAAACCTCACCTCCAGACTTCTCCTTAGAGTCCCTGGACTCCATTTCTGGCCAGGAGAGGGGGAAGTTAACTAGCCGGTGGCAGCCTTCACCCCAGGCCAACAGGGCCTCCATCTTGGACAGGACACGGGGCTTGGTCTCCGGTGTGGTTTGGGGACTTGTTCCTGGCAGAAGGGGTTTTTGGTCGGTATGTGTTTTTAGGGACAGAGTTTCTGTTTGAATCTGGCGCGGGTACCAGCAGCCAAGAACCTCTGTGTCCACAGACTCGACCAGGAGGGGGTGTGGAGGCATGTGGCCCTTGATGGAATGTTCTGCAGCCTTAGAACAGGCACTGCAAAGCCTTGGGCAACACAGGAGTTGCTTCTAGCAACACTGAATTCAGAAAGAAAGGCATGATGGAGAGTGAGCTGTGAGCTCTGAGGGTGAGAATGTCAGAGAAACTGCCGAGCACTGCTCAGTCCTTCTGCGTGGCACAGGGAAGAAGGTCAGGCTGGGACAGAGCACTGCTCTGGGGTCAGGCAGAGCCACACACCTGGGGTGCCTGAGGTCGGGCTCTGCTGCCTGCAGCCTTGCTTTTCTCCTGGAAAATGGACACGTTTATCCTGTTAGGTGCAGATTCGTTTTGAGAATTTGCTGCAATTATGTATCAAGATGCATGCAGCCCAAGGCTTGATGTGTCACGAGGGCAGAGCCTGAGGGTCTCACAGGAGACCAGGGCGGGGACAGCGAAAAGCACAGTCTGGGCCTGCCTGTCATGCCAGCACGTTGGGAGGCCGAGGTGGGAGGATTGCTTGAGCCCAGGAGTACAAGACCAGCCTGGGCAACATAGTGAGACCTCATCTCTACAAAAAGTTAAAAAAAAAAAAGCCGGGTGTGGCGGTACACCTGTAGTCTCAGCTACTCGAGAGGCTGAGTCAGGAGTATTGCCTGAACCCAGGAGGTTGAGGCTGCAGTAGCTGTGATGATGCCACTGCACTCCAGCCTGGGTGAGAGTGAGATCCCTAGAAAGAAAGAAAAAGAGAGAGGAAGAAAGAAAAGTATAGTCCAAGTGAGGGCATGAAAGTGGGGAGACCAGTGGGGGTAGATCTTCCCCCCATCCCGAACTGTCTATACTGGAGCTTTTGTTTATTGCAGCAGTTTACATGACGAAGTTCAGCTTCGCCTCAGCTTCTCCAGATGAGGAGATCTGTAGGCCTAGGGAGTACCCCCCCCCCCAGTTTTCTGTTCCTTGCAGGAACCATGTCCCTGAGTATGCTGAAAGCGGCTGCTGTGTGCAGTCGGGAGGTAACTCCTTGTTCTTTTATTTTAAGCATCTTCAATTTGTGTAAATAACACATCCTCTTAGAGACTTTCACTCTGGGTCTCTATCTCAAGTCAGACTCGGCCTCAGGGGGGAAAAATAAGAGTGTTTATCCCTTGCTCCCTGGAGGAAGTCGGATCATATAATCAGGATTAAACAAATATGTAAACTGCGCTAGTTCCTTGGCTGTGTTCTATCCTAACATATAGCTGGTTTTGTAGGAGAACGTCCCCTTAGAGTAACAAGGCAATATTTCTCCCTGCCCCAGCATTTGCTTAAACCCCCAGAAACTTCTAAAGAGACATCTGTTAGAGCTCCCAGGCCATTCTGTAAAGAAACTGAGATGGAGTGATAAGGTTGGTAGGCAACACAGCGAGAACATGTCTCTACAAAAACATTTTAAAAAATAGCCGGGTATGGCGTGTACTTGGAGTCCCAGCTACTCAGGAGGCTGAGGCGGGAGGATTGCCTGAACCCGGGTGGTCGAGGCTGCAGTGAGCCATAATTGTGTCACTGCACTCCAGCCTGGGAGACAGAGTAAGACCCTGACTCAAAAAAAAAAAAAAAAAGAAAGAAGGTTGGAAAACATAATCATGATAGGAATGGGGAGGGAGTAAAAATAATCCAGTTAGGGTGGGCCGAGGGCATGTGAGTGCTTAGAGGGGCTTTTGATCTGTGCTGGTGTTTGTTGTTTGCTGGAGGATTTGCCACCGGCTGGGGGGGCCTTGGCCTCATGGGTGCTGGAGGGAGCTTCAGCAGTGAGTAACTTGTCCACGGCCATGGCCAGCTAGGGAGCGTGTGCCAGGCACTGTCCCTGCTCACCTGGGCTCGATCGTCTTAGCTGGCTCTCCGCTGGCCCTTCCTCTTGTCCCGTGGAGATGGTCACAGCCTGGCTCAGTGCCCACCCTCCAGGCAGCTCCCAGGCCCCTCCCAGCGGGCAGTGCTGGCCAGGCCGTGTGCCTGCTTTGCGGGAAGCCCCTCTGTGGCGCCCTCTGGTGTGCGGTCTGAGCCTGTTGGGTTGGCATTTAGGACCTTCCTGTCCGGTTTCTCTGACGTCTGTGGTGCCCTCATCCCTCATTCCTGCTAAGCACCCCAACCTGCACACTTCGTGCCACACCCACCATGTAACTTCACTCTCCCACCAGTCCCAGCTCCCTGTGCCTCCAGTGCTTCCTCCTTCACCCTCTCCTCCCTCAAGACCTGGCTCCATGGGTGGCAGACTGAGTCCCAGGACCCCTGCAGGCGTCACCTGAGTGGTCTTTTAAATCACTCCTCTTGTCATTGTGTATTCAGCTTTGTGTCTGCTGAAGCCTAGAGAGGCTCAGGTATCCACGAGGGCAGAATGTATGTGGTCTGTAAAAAGGATGAATGGATGAACAAGTGAGCAGTGGAGTGAATGAATGAGTGAATGAATGAATGAACAAGCAGTGGAGAGAATGAATTAATGTGTAGTGGAGTGTATGAGTGAATATGCAATGGGTGAATGAATGAATGAGCAGTGAATGAATGAATGAGCGGTGGAGTGAATGAATGAATGAACGAGTAGTGGAGTGCACATTTTGTCTGCCCCCTCCAGTGTCAGCCCAGGGCCTGGCAGGCCTGTCCTGGGGTGAAGGGCATCAGGGGGCAGCCTCCTGCCTCCCCTCTCTTGCTCAGGGGTCTCTGGTCTAGCCTTTCTGTCCATCCTGCATTAGTTTCTAGAAGGCAGAGAAACTGGGGAAATGACTAAAAAGACAGGGCTGGGATCACACAAACTGGTTTGTATCCCAGCACTGCCTTCAGCTGAACCTGCTGTGTGACTCTGGGCAATGACTTGACCTCTCTGAAACCCCATTTCTCCATCCGTCATGGGGAGAGGCAGCCGTTGTCCCTACCTCACAGGGATGCCGTGAGGGTTAGATGGGGACTGCATGGCACACAGCCAGTCCCAAGCAAGTGTCCAAATGTACCGAGTTCAGTCCATCGGGACATTTTTGGTGGCAAAAGCCCAGGTCAGCCTGGCTTCGAAGCAAAAGGGCTTCCCTGACCAAAAAGTCTGCAGTCATTTGATGGGCCGGGCCTGGGTTACACCCCAGCCTCCAGAGGTCCAAGAAAACCCAGGCAGCCGGGCTCGGTGGCTCAGCGTGTAATCCCACGCCTTTGGGAGGCTGAGGTGAGTGGATTGTCCGAGCCCGCGGGTTCGAG